GAAAGAAAATTATTTTCATGATTGAATCATTATCTTTTAAGCATTTTAATTTTGCTATATAATTGTTGTCTAAATTATACAAAAGTGAAAATAACACTGACTTCTCATTTTAACAGATATATTTACCAAAATTGCACAAAAATATCTTGAAATACAAAAGAGTAAATTTATTCAATAAAATCGCCATTGTCTTCAACCATGGCCTTAGATGACTTTGGAATCTTCTGCAACTCTTCTGGATGGTCTCCTTGTTTAAGTTGGTGAATGCTGCCATAATCCTTGCCTTCAGTTCATCTTTGATGTTACAAGGAGTTTTGTTGGTCACTCGCTCAACTGTGCCCCACACATAATAATCAAGAGAGTTGCAGTCTGGGGAGTGAGGTGGACAAATGTAAGGGGTGATGTGGTTGAAGAAATTGTCTGACAGCCATGACTGTGTTCTCCTGCTTGTGTGGCATGGTGCAGAGTCCTGTTGACAGACAGAGTGTCTTCCAGCAGCTACCTTCTTGACCCAGGACAAAACTACCTCCTCAAGGCACTTGATGTAGGCCTCTGTGTTGAGTAGAAAGATGTATGGAGGTATAATGTTGCCATCACTAGTGATCACTCTAAACACCTTCATAATCACCATTAGTCTCATTCAACTCTTTCTGAATCGTAAGCACTTTTCTCAGATTGACACCCAAACACTCTGAAATATTCATATTGAAGCTTCTGGTGAAAATGTCAAGTACAGCATGCCATTTCCAAATGTCTAGCAGAGTGGATTGCATCATGGTACTCTTTTTCTCACAGATGGTGCCCAACTGACCATACTATACTGTGCAGTCAACAAAATCAAAAACAATGTGCAAAATTAAAAATATAACATGGTGACTATTTACCCATCACATTCCCTGTATACATATTCTATGTTGAGGATAAACTAAGTTTTTGTTCTATGAGCCATAAAGATACAAGAAAAGCTGTACCTATTTCAAATGTTCATAGAATCTACTTGAAAAAACAAAAATTAATGCCTGTAGGAACCCTTTGCTATGAAGAGCTCACATTCTGTTTTTACATTGACAAGGCAAGAATGTGTAAATTTTAGTGCAGCTAACCCAAGATTCAAATATAAACCAATCCCAGCCACAAACCACTTTCCCCCAATGATGATGAAAATTAATTAGACAGATTTGCATTAGCTCTGATGTAAACACAGCTTCTGGAAGTTGTTGCAGGACTAGGAGTTATCAAAATAAAATTTGTTATTGACATTGTATTCTTATCTTACCAATTTCTTTAGTGAACAGAATTGTTTTGGACAATCTCCTTTGTTAGTGATAAGAAAATTAAATGTCAATGACAAACAAAACTTTATTTAAAAATATTTTTCCCATGGACCATTATCACTAATCATTTACTAGGATTTCATTTTTTTTTAACAAATCTGGCTTAACCATAAACTGTGAAAATAACATTATACAAAGCAATATTACAGAAAAGAAGATTAATTTAAATGTAACTACATTGTCGATAAACTTAATTAACAACATTAGTCTTCCACCATTTGTGAGTAGATTAATAACAAAAGAGACAAATGTTATGTCACCTCATGGAAACAACTGGAAAATGCTGCAGATTTTTATCATTGTATAGATATAGGAAGCTATGCTAAAGTAACTTCATTTCTTCTAGTTTCAAAATTTAACTAATTACCAAATTACTGATGCTATGGTGATTATCATGTTTTCAATAGTATTACAAAAAGTGACTGATATACTATAGCAAATATCCATTCAGTTACCTCTAAACTTGGTAAGAAGAGCTTTATATATATATATATATATATATATATATATATATATATATATAAAAAATAATATTGTAAAAAAAATGACACTGGAAAAAGTTTTTGTGTGAAGCATTTCGTACTTTAGGAACTAAATTTGTTATGTTGGCACATGCACACAAATGAGATATGGTGGGAATTTTAAATTAATTATATATATATATAAAGGGAAGAGGTTATAGTAGTTCCAGCGAGAGAAAAGTGTGTATAATAAAAAGAAGAGAGAAACCACAAACGTTTTTGGTTGTAATGTGGATTTTTTTCAAAAATGTATTATGCTTTATTTTCCATAAATTTGCTACAGGTGTTTCCAGTTTCATGACCTTCATCAGGAAAAAGTGGATATTTCCACATATTATTAAAAGGAATTAATTTTTCTCATGTTATTCGATGTTAAATATTCTCGATATTAGATATTCTTTTTTTTGTGTGTTAGTGACACAAATGTCTTTCGTGTTTTAGGTTTTTAGATTGGTGTTTGCTTTTAATTATTTTGGTTGGTTTTAGCATATTTTTCAGTTTGTCATTCTTGCTAAGTAGGTCTAGATTTTTTGCAATTTCTGTAAATAGTTCTGGATTGTTCTTGTTGTATGTTGAAACAAATGCTAGATTTTGTTCAACGTTACATTTCTTTACCTTTGTTTATTAGGGTTGTGGTGTAGCCTCGTTTTTTTAGAGTTTTATGTAGTTCTTCTTTGTATCACAACATATCTATAAACCAGGGCAAATTTAAAATTATGCAAATATACCAAACAGACAATTATTCTTACCTCCAAATACAAGAAAAAAACTTTATAAACAAATTTAAACCAGCACTAAATAGATCATAACCCCACACGCAAAAGCACACAACATGCACACATAATGGCCAAATACGGTGGTTAAACCACTCGCATCCATGTGCACACACTCACACACCGGTATATGTGGAGCACGAATATGTATACACATACTGGCAAAAACAATAGACTGCTCACAGGCATGTATGCAAACCCTACACAACATAGGAAGTGCACATGTGTATGTATGTATATATGAATGTATATGTGTGTGTATGTGTGTTTATACTAATTCCTTATAATAAGACAGTATGTGTGTATAGAGAAGGAGTGCACATGTACATGCGCGTACTGGTATATATATACATATATTGACAAAAACAAAACTGCTCACAGGCACACACACAAACCCTGCACAACATAGCAAGTGTGTGTTTGTGTGTATGTGTATGTATGTGTGTATGTGTATATGTACATATGTGTATACTAATTCCTTATAATAAGACAGTATGTATATATGGAGAGGGAATATATCTAAGAACACACATGGGTCATTAAAAGATAAGAATATAGATATCTTTCTCACCCTTTCTCAGACCAGTCTTAATTGTTTTATTATCCTTCACGCAGAATTCTTTCACTGCCAGATCAAGAAAGACATTTGGGTCACTAACACACAAAAATGAGAATGTCTAATATTGAGAATATTTAACATCAAAAAACATAAGAAAAATTAATTCCTTTTAATAATATGTGGAAATATCTACTCTTTGCTTGATGAAGGTCGTGAGACTGGAAACACGTATAGCAAAATTATGGAAAATAAAGCATAATATATTTTTTTTAAAATCCACTTTACAAGCAAAAACATTTGTGGTTTCTCTCTTATATATATATGGTTAGCTACAACTTATCACTCGCTTGTGATATGCCTAAAGCAGCAGTGACTTTTTGGTTCTTTGAATATAATTATATGTCTTTCAGATTAAAAAATGCAACATTCCAACACTTTATAAACAAAATATTTGGTAGCAGAAATATGGTTCTACAGCAGGATTCTCAAAATACCATGGACTGAAAATGTGAGTAATAACAAAGTTTTAAGGAAAATGGAAATAAAAAGGACACTTCTTAGAATCAGAAAGAGATAATTGAAATTTTGGGGGCACATAATGAGGAAAAAGGGCCTGGGGACTATGACACTCACAGGAAATATTGAAAGCAAGAGGGATAGAGGAAAACAGTGACTAGCCTTGCATAATAAGCTTGTGTAAATGATTGACAGAACAGGGATTAGGAGGGATAGCAAAATGACAAAACTTACTAAGAGCTATAAAGGACAAGAAGTTGTGGAGAGCCATGATCGTCCACCTGAAGGGTCATGGAACATAGAAGAAGAGACCTTTTTTTTATACATAGACCTTATATAAAGACCTTTTTGTCAAAATGTTAATAAATATAATTTTAAATTTTACCACAATTATTGGAAGTGTAACTATGATTAATTATGAATGGTGTTATAAACATTATTGGAGAAGGAAGCTGCCTACATGTGTTTGACAAAAAACTGTATAAATCAGGTCAGAGTTTAATATACAACAAAGATTAATATATTAGTTCATATAACTTGTTGTATAACTATTTCAGATATTTTCAAACATTTAGGAAAGAAGATTTTTATATGGAAACCTTCAATCAAGTTATTTGGAAAGTTTGAAGGCAGTCAAAGTCTAATTTTAGCAGTTAAACCTTTGAGGGAAATCTCTACTTGTTCAAAAATATTTTCAAAGCTATTGGTGAAATATAGTCTTTCAAATGCTCTCTGTATCTGTAAATGCTTTGAATTTCAGAAAACAAGCCTTTTAAGTTCATTTTCTCTTGCATTTATCTGATAATTCCTTCTCATCTGCTTTGCTAAAATTGCTCCAAAAATGCCCATCAAAGGTTAGTAACAATTGCAAAATAGGTTCTCTTCATGGAATTACCAGATAAGTGGATGACATACATATAGTTTTTTTATGGAATATAAATGCCTTCCTTATATTCAGAAAATTGTGAAATTTTACATGCAAAGTTATTGTAAATATTTTATTTTGGAAAAATAAATTTTCTTTTGATAGATGGTTTTGAAAATTGGTGAACAAAACATTATGTACAATGCCCAAGGAGAAAGTAAACTATTTGTAATCTGAATTCAGAATTGACAGTTTTTATCGCAAAGTTCCTTAACCTTTACTGTTTCAAAATGGAAAAATAATGATTATGTCATTTTCAATAGCTTTCTTTTACCTTTTTCTTCTCTAAACTAAAGCAATGTGAGTGGAAAAGGGGATATATTCAGAGTTATTTTAACGTGAACATCGATAAAAAAAAGGTAAATTGTGATGATGTGTAATTCTGACGCAACTGTTTCTTTTTTTCTTGATTCATTATCGTTATCGTCTGCTACTTGTACAAAAATACACGTGAGAGGTTTTCTTTCTTTTTATGTCATTAAAAAAATCTTGGATCATAAAATAAATTATAATTCCTATTGTTTGTTGTTGTTTTTATGCATATTACTTTTTTTCTGGTAATTTTTCAGTGTTTGCCAATGTACTTGTCGTGTGGAACTCAAACTAAAACTAACCATAGCATCGTTCAACACAAACGTAAAAAAAATCAACTCATTTTTTTGCAATTCGATCAGGCAAAATTAGTGATTTTATTAGAAACATACAAGAAAAACAGAAAAATTATAAATTAGGGTTTCTTATAATCCCATTATCCTTGTATAATTTTCCAACGCTTTTTACATTTATATCGATCGATCTATTCATTCTCTCCTGTCTGATGTCACCTTGTAAAAAGTAAAATAAAAAATAATAATAATGCCGGCGTAAGTGTTGCTAAACTACTCCCGACGGTAACTTTAAACTATCCTATAAAAATGTTAGTATTCAATTAAAAATTGAGTTTTAGGTAAACCTTTTGTTAAATTTTTCCTAGGATTGATTTATAAAATAATTTAATTCCTTGTTGAAGATTTATAAACATTTTTTTTTAGAATTCGGCGTGTTTGTATTCGGGGGAGGGAAACTAGTTGCGTGTAATAGCTGTTCTATTTGCATATGTTATTCGCAGCCATTAATCTAGGTCAGCCCAGGCTACTGTCAGTGTGAGTGCTTCCACATCTGGATACGGTGGTTTACGCCAGCCAGGAATTTACATCTTGGTAAGTGCTCTTTACTAAATGATGTTAACTACTCGTTTCTGCAATTAGCATTTCATAAATTATAATCAATCGCAATTAAATCAAAATATAAAAACCCTGAATCCAGGTATGCCATAAAATGAGGGTGTGGTGCCCTATGTACCGAAATTCGACATTTGAGGGGCATGAGAAAGAAGAAAAAGAAACCTGTAAAAATTAAAATAGTCTGATGAAGATAGCATTTGAAAAACTGTCATTTCTATGCTTTTTAACACCTATTTTAGCTAACGATTAAGTAATAAATAAATAAGTTTGGTTTTAGAGATCATCAGTTGGTCTTTTTGATGCATTTTCATTTTTTTACATTTAAAAAGGATTTTAGGATTATGCGAAAGTAACTAAACATAAAAATTTATTGATTAAAAATTAAATCTGATAACTAATTTTACATATAAATCTTCAAATATTACGAAGCCGTAAGTTCAGATATTTTAAATTCTCAGGAATGTCTGCATCCTCCCTTCCTACCTTTTTCAATCTAAATCCTTGGATAAGGACGAAGTATTTTTATAATTTTATTATCCTCAAAATGGCGGTCCTAAAGTTATTTTTGTTATTGATTGTTGGAAAATTGTTTATTTCTTTTACGTTATCACAAAATTTGATTTCTAATAATTTTTCTTCTAAATCATACTTTTAAAGGTGTATTTCAGTAACTAATATTTTATTTTATTTATTGCAGTTTTGCAAGAGTGCAGAAAACACACACACACACACACATATATATATATATATATATAAATGTGTGTGTGTATGTATGTATAAGAGTACAAAATGCTTTTAAAAATGATCTGATAAGTGATTTTTTTTTCTCTACTTATCTTCAGGATTGTCTGCAATAAGGTGATCACGTGATCGAACACACCCACTGCATAAATGCTGATCTTTTTGGTCTCTCGTACATTGAAGTGACTTTTTCCGTTATGAAAACTTTTTTTATTGTATGCCCTCCTCAATTAAATCTCATCTCTAATGACATCTACGCAATAACATTTTCTTTTATTATTATTAAAATGCACGATATCTCACTTTTTATTAAAATTATAATTTTATATTGGTTAAAAAAACCTAAAGCGCTACAGGCTACATACAAGATGTGATTTTTTATTTTAGGGAATTTATTTAATTTTCTATTCATTTTAAGTACAGCATGCCACTTTCTTTTTCTGGCATAGATACACAACTAAAAAATGCTTTCATTTAAAAAAGACATCTGTAGAGCAGATCGATCGAAATTTGAAATAAAACCTATTGAAATCGTGATAACGTTCGTGATATTTCATCCGCAGCCCCAAATTAAATTAATACTCTCTTATTTTAAAAACCAACTTGAATTCGAAATTAAGTTTCACTTTTTTAAAATATATCCCTCTAGAAATATATATTGCATCACATTTCTTCTATCAACTATTTCTCTCTAGTCTCTACCATTTAAAAAATTATATATTGATCATTAAGCTTGTTTCTTTGGGGTTTTTATTCTGTCTCGTAACATCTGATGAGAAATATGGTTGATTGGTTCGTTAACATTAACAATTAAGAATAATTCATTTCGGTTTTTGAGCATCAATAGGTGCTTTTCATACCTCCAATGAATAAGTTTTAGTTAAAATAATTCTAGCGATTTACCACTACTGATACTGACTGAAGTGATTGATTTTTCTAACGGAAAAAAAATACAATAAAAATAAATAAGGCTTTCAATTTTTAAACAAAATGCAGACTGCTCTGTTCAAAGAACACATTAAGTTTTTCTGTTCCTATTAAAAAACTTAACACTACACTACATTTACTTGTTTTGTATTATTTTTTAGTAAATTAAATATTTGCTGTACATTTTTACTTTTCTATGGATTATTAAATTTAAAAAAGGCATCACTTGTTCTATTTTTAATTTAGTTTTCATTTAAATTTCATTGCATATTGGTTTGAAATATTGAGGAAAATCATTCTAGTAGTTCATAAATTAAATGTTTTATTCCTTTTTATATTGAAATACGTTCATTTTTTTCATGTTTTTTTTTTTAATTCTAATATTTTCTTGAAAAATTTCTAGGTTTAATTTTGCGATTGTATTGATGAAAGACCCCAAAGTCAAACGTTTATTTTCCTCAGTTAAAAATTAAATTGAAATAGTTTCCGTTGGAAGATTTTTTTTCGCAGAACACTGAGAACAGAATACAATCTTGAATCTCGAAGAAAACTCCGATCCAATGGTATTTTTCTTTCTGTTGTCCTCTAGAGAAAGGCGGCTCCCGAGATTATTCTATTTTTTTTTTTGTTGTTAGATTGTAAGGAAGACCTAATAAAGTCAACATATTTAAAAGAAAAAAAATATTAAAGTAGCCTTTAAGGTCAATTAAAGTCGTTAAAAAACCATATATTTGGCAGACGAAACTAAAAAAAAATGTTTTTTTTTTGTTTTTAGTTACTATCTTCAGTACTTTTAATCGGTTGTTTATCGTCACTAAATATTCATATCAGTGGAATTCTATCCGAAGCTGCTTTTCACTGTTGAGTAGAGGCTCTCAATGCTTAATTTTTTCTCCACAAGGCTTATGGCAAAGGCAATATAGTTATGTTTAAATTGGAAAATTAGTATGTAATAATCGATTTTTTTTTTTTTTTTTTATATTAATATTTCTTTCATTTTTCATATTCATTTTTTTCTCGAGTTACATCGACTGCATGAAGCATTTCTTTACTGAAATGAAAAAGGTTTAAACAAAAAAAAAGGAAAAAACAAAACAAAAAACTAGCAGACACCATAAAACTTACTTGTAGCAGAATTGCAGCTGCTGCTAGAATGTTGAGTAATTTAGTTGCCATGACTCCCTGCATTCAGAAATAATGTGCAATCTCTTACTGATTTTCATGTTAAAAAGAATAAGATACACTTTTTTTACTTGTTTGTACACTTTTACTTTTGATTTGAATTTTCTAAAATTTCAATAAAATGTCAGAGAAACGAATTTTTTCCAATTTCCCATTATTTCCAGCTTTAAAAGAAGTACGTCTAAAAAAGTTTATATTTGTAGATCTGTTTTTGCTATTTGTAGTTGGGTAATTGATTTTCACTTTTTAAGTTCTACTCTCTAGTCTACAGCCGACGTCAGCCTACATTATCATTATTCCTACACTCGTTCTCTGCCTATAATTTTCCACTCTTCTACATATTTTCTCCCTCGATGTATAATCTTCCGGTCACTATTGTAACTGTTCTTTGTATTTCAATATATACTCCCTTTTTGGTACTTTCCATCACCCTGGTACTCACTCACAGGACTACTTGGAATATTTGTAACTTCATACTGCAATAGAGAATAAAAAAAATTCTTCCTCGTCTAAAAACCACCCAGAAACAGAATTAAAATCATTCCTTGTTGAGTCCCTCCCTAAACATGCGCATATTGTTCTTGTTAGAATTTTATTTTATTTCTTCTATGAACTCTCAACGCATTTTGGCTTGTGATGTTGATTGATTTTTGCAGTAAAATATGCTAAAAATTGAAATTTACTTTCCCTCTATCTTCCAGGAGAGAAAGAATTCTCTTGCTTGAGCTTGCTGTTTTACTTTAATTTTTTCTTATTTAAACTCAAATACACAGTGACAAAATTTTACAAATTTGTTTCAAATTGCAACTTTACAAGGAGAATTTTTGATTTTTTTTTTTTTTTTTTTTTTAGTGAAATTTAAAAAAATGTTTTCTAGTTAAATGCGCTTTTGACAATATCCAAACATGGAAGACCACGTAAAAATAATTTTCTTATTTTAATTAATTTCATTGCAAATAGATTAATTCAGCATTTGTTGGAAAGAAATCTTGTTTGTGTTCTTAAAGAAATATTTTACTTTTGGTCTGTATGACGTTTGTCAACGTTTTACAATTTAAAAAAAATATGCTTTAATAATTTAAATAAAATTATTACATTGCTAACTACACATCATTCAAATCTAACTCCAGAGAAGGCTTAAAAATTTGTTCTCGCTTTCCCCACACCCCTTAAGAGAGATTTAGTACTATTGTAAAATATTGTGCTATGGCCGTCAGTGTCCAGCTCTTACAGATTATGCGTCTGGAGTTTTCATCCAAGTAAAAAGTCTAATTTTCTACCATCAGTGTCATAGGTAGTTGGTTAGTTCTGTGCTAGGTACATTTCAAATTTGCTTATTGGGACGATTTTAAAATCTTTCTTTACAGCGTTTCCTTTACCCTCCAAATCCATTTGTCGGATTCAAAGAAATATCGACCTTTAAAATTTCCAAAGTAATGGAATTGTCTTAATTCTCTTATTATTTATTTTATAAAGATTTCTGACTTACCCTCCCCACCTTTTTTTTTTAATAAATGTTCATCACCTGTAGAGAAAGTAATAGTTCATAGTAAGTTGTAGACCGGCACACCTATTCCCAGCATGATTCTCACATTAATTATATTACATAAGTAAAGAGTTTTCCAAAATTAATTTCAGACATTAACTTTTCACTTTCATTTACTCAGACAGTTCATATTGCATTGCTATTACAAAGATGCCACGCCCAGTTTAGTTTGAGATTGTAGCAGTAGCAACAATATACCATGAATTATTAAATAGATATTTTTTTTCCATTTTAAATCCTTCAATCTTTTTAAAACTGTTTAAACAATGTTTAAAATTTTAATCCTAAACAAAATGCTGAAAACCTCACAGCGACTGATACTGAGTAGTACAATTATATAAATTATCATCTGACATAATGAAATGAAATTCGTGACCAAAACTACATACACTGCATGTATGCTGTTTAAATATTTTATATCAAGTTATAGTTAAATTTGATTCAGATGGAAAAATATAGGAAAACAAAGATTTTTGTACATTTTTAGAGAAATAACCAAAATTGGTACTCATCATTTTTCATCTAACAGAAACGGTATGTTCTTTGAGCAACAGACTTCAGTTATGTCATCTTGTACTAC